GGGGCTGCCGAGGCCGGCGCAGGCGGCGGGCGCCGCGCCACCATCTCCAGTGCCCTGGAACTGGAGGGCACGGTGAGCCGCCACGGCGACCTCACCCACTTTGTGGCCAACAACCTCCAACTCAAGATCCGTCTGAGCGGCGCCGCCCAGCCCCCGCCCCCTGCCCCCTCCCGGCCCTGCCCAACGTCCGCACCCACTCCGGCCATCCCGCCCATCGACCCCGACGTGCTGCGGGACCTGGAGCGGCTGAGTCGGGAGCTGGGCGGCCGCGTGGACCGTCTGCTCCGGGGGCTGGGTGGCGCAGTCCAGGAGCTGACGGCGCTGAGCGTGGGTTGCATCCAGACGTACCGCGACGCCGTGGACTCTTTGGGTGAAGCCGTGGACATGAGCATCAAGGGCATGTACACCCTGCTGGCGCGCTGCGAGGAGCTGGAGCGGGCCCTGCAGCCTGTGCAGGGACTGGCTCGCCAAGTCCGAGACATTCGACGCACATTGGAAGTGTTGGAGGCACTATGCAAGTGATCCGGAGGGCAGGAGACTGGGACAGGATCCTAGGGACTCTTCAAGGAGCCCTGGCGGGAACTGTCTAAAAAGGGGAAATCTCTGTGTTGGAGATGCTTCCAGATGCATTTAGTAGACTGGTGCCTAAGCGTTGGGCCTTAAGCAAGCGTGTATGGGTAACTCGTAATTGCTCTCTTGGAGGGAGGGAATGATGCTGTGCTTCTATTCATTTGGCCATCTGTAGTTACCCTGTTCTCCACAAATCCCTTTCCTAGCTAGAACACCATCCTGAGGAAGCTAGGGCTTTCGATCTCAGCTTGAATAGGGAAACAAGACTCCTATATGCGATTGAAAGGGGAACACAGAAGACCCCACCCCCACTACGGCTGCCCTGATTCCGGTAGCCAACCGCTCAGGTGTTAGGGCCTTTGGGAACTTGAGCAGGCCTTAGCCACACTCCTTGCAAGGAAGAATGCACACCTGCAGGCGGGCAACTTTCTGGGTCCATCCTGGCCCCTCCGAGAGCATACCAACTTCCCAACCAGAACCAAGGAGGAAGCTAGGAGGAGTCTATCAGATGATAAAGTGAGTGAGGTGGGGCGCCTCACTCCTCTCAGGGTTCAGGGAGAGTTGTTGCTGGGTTTGAAGCCAACCTGTTGCGGAGTATTCTAATCAAATTTTGGCTTTCTGAGTTTTGTGGAATTAAAATGTTGCTGCTGCTGCGACTGAGGCTGAGTCTGTGTGGGGTGGTCTGGATTATGTAGTCAAACAAATGGGACTGAGGGTGGGGTGTTTGTTTGTTTTAATTTCCTTGTGGCTAGGCCTGGTGCAGGGGTGGGGAGGTGGTGTGCTCTTTTGGGGTGGGGGCTGATATAGTTCCTGATCTGAGGAAGAAGGCAAAGCACTCTGGCCTAGAAATCCAGTAAGAGCAGAAATGGAAACAAGGTATTTAAGGGTAAGGTGGCGGGGAAGGATTCCTTTCTTCTCAGAGTGGACAAGCAGGGGCTGGACAGATGGCACATCTTTAGAAGAAGACGGAGACTACTTGTTAGCTCGTTTCCCATACTCTGCTGATCAGGGCTACGTTTACGCTGTAGTTGGGTGCCACTGAATTGGTCCTGACTCGGGAATTCTATGTACAACAATGAAATATCTCCCAGCCCTGCACCGTTCTTCTGTTTGAGCCCCTTGTTACAGGCACTGTATCAAACTATCTCGTCAAGAGTCTTCCTCTCTTACACTGCCCAAGCACGCTCTCTTTACTTTACCAAGCATGGTGTCCTTTTCCAGACCTGGGCTCTTCTGACAAATCCAAAGTATGTGACACAAAGTCCTGGCTTCTAAGGAGCATTTTGGCTGCACTTCTTTCCAGACAGATCTGGTTGTTCTTGTGGCAGCGTGGAACTTTTAAAACTCTTTGCCACACTAATTCAAATGCATCGATTCTTTGGTCTTCTTTATGTAGTGCCCCACTTTCACATGCATATGAGGCGATTAGAAATACCATGGCTTGGGTCAGGTGCACCTGAGTCCTCCAAGTGACATCCTTGCTCTTCAACACTTTGAAGAGACCTGTGTCACTTGGTCCTACTGTAGTGCTTTATGTGTTGCTGGGATTCTGGAAGCTGTGTCACTGGTATTTCAAATACCAGCAGGGTCACCCAAGATGAACAGTTTTCAGCAGAAGTTCCAGACTAAACAGACTAAGAAGGGAGAATAGGCTGTCTACTTCTGAAGAATTAGCCACTGAAAACATTCTGAATGGCCACATTTACAGCTCAAAACAATTTTTGTGCAGCTTTTGGCAGCATTCTATTTGACAGTTTGCGTGTTAAGTTCCAAAAGCCCATCTTAGGGTTTAAGAGAATTGAAAAGGTTACAGAGACTCTGGCTCCTCTAGATACAGCACTTTAAACCAAAACACACCTTAATTTCTTTTTGTGTATGTAGCAGCCACTGGGAGATATTGCACTATAAACATTTACTAGTTGTATTTATTTCTAAGAGAAACGTTTAAAAAATGTGTATGGCCATGGCCCGTACGGGGATCGAACCCGCGACCTTGGCGTTATTAGCACCACGCTCTAACCAACTGAGCTAACCGGCCGACAGCTGTCTGGGTTGCCGTTTAAAACTCTGTAAAACTCACCTAACTGTTCCGGCCAATCTTGCAAGAGCTCAAGAAGGGATCGAATTGGTTTCCAAGGCGTGCCTGCAATGAAACGAAGACACGGCCTTGCTAAGTATTTGAGAAGTAATAACCACGGTGGGACGTCGAGCACGGAGATGGCCTCTCTGGCTTTTGGAGCAGGACGAGGCGCAAACACGGGTTTCGTGTGGCAGGGAACCTGCAGCGACCACGCCCGAACCTGAAATGAAAAGAAAGAAGAAAATGCGAATTGAGAACAGCGGTCCTGGAGGAACGGTCCGACGATCGCCTAGAGGCAGTATGTAAAACCAGGGGTATGAGCGGAGGCACCGCTGGGAGTCGAACCCAGGATCTCCTGTTTACTAGACAGGCGCTTTAACCAGCTAAGCCACGGCGCCCACTACTCGGGGTTTTCCGCGATGTTTACTTGGCGGAGGTCAAGTGCAGGACATGCAAGCACATGATGAGATGCATCTTTCCGGTCCTATTGGAGAAAGCCATTTTAGGGACGAAAAGCAAAGCTGAAAGAGAGCAAGGGTGTAGAAATAGCGAAAAGGACCACGAAGCCGCCACCCGCGGAGCGGAGCCGGCGGCCCGACGAGGATGGGATTCGAACCCACGCGTGCAGAGCACAATGGATTAGCAGTCCATCGCCTTAACCACTCGGCCACCTCGTCTGCGGAGGAATGCGCCTGAATCTGTTCTCTGGGGTCTGAACCCGCCGTCCGCGCTGCGCGTCCGGAAGCTGCGTCCTCGCCCTCTCCGGACCTGGCATTCCTCCCTTGGATCTGGGACCGGCACCTGCCCTCGGGAGCCTGGATAGCCACCCACACTTCGGGCGCCCCGATTCGTCGGGAAAAAAACGCTTCGAGATCACTGTGCTCCTCCGACAGTGCGGCCTGGGAGTTCCGTCCCTGTCCCCCGGGTTTCGACTCGGTCCTTCCTCATTCCTGACTGGGTGCTGCACTGCGAAAAAAGTTGTAAATAAAAAAAATAAGTAGCCCACGAAAAGAACTGACCCCGACGTGATTTGAACACGCAACCTTCTGATCTGGAGTCAGACGCGCTACCGTTGCGCCACGAGGTCAGCCGTCCGCAAGGCTGGACAGGTCGCCTTATGGTCGCTGGACATCCAGGTGGTGGACGTCCCGGCCCTCGAGGCGCACGAGCAGAGGACCACTCTTGCCCATCTCAAAACTCGCCCCAGGATGCTTGCGTTCCTCCCACCCGTGAGTGGGGGCGAGCGGAGGCAGGCGGCCGCTGCCCCGCGGTGGTGTGACCCGCTCGCGTCAGCGAGCCCTCCGACCCCGACCCCGAGTCCTGCAAACAACCGAATGAGAGGCCACTGGGCTGGTCACTGGGACGATCCGGAGTTCATAGCCCTGCTGGGACTGAGCACTCGGAAAGCTGGAAAGAGCAGGCAGAATGGGATGGGGCTATTCCGGAGTCCAAACCAGGGGATGGAATGATGGCTACGTGCCTGTGCAGGACGTCTTCTCCCTCGCTGCACACTTCAATCCCCTCCTTCGAAAATAACCACGCACAAGTCCATGCTCGGAAATTCGGATTTAAACAGCCCTTGGTAGAGCCATTTATATAGGATGACTATTTTTGCATAATTTACATATCGTGCAATGTACACATCTTAAGGGTACAACTTCAAATGCAAACACCCGTGCAACCACGACCCTTCAAGATAGTGTATTTCCATCCCTCCAGAAGTTCTCTCCTATCCCCAATCCATCCTCACCCTCTTCCCAACCGCCATCCTCGCTCACATTTTCATCACTATTGACGGCAATGTTTTCACAGCTTCCCCTGCCCAGACAGGGGAGTCCTTGGTGGCGCAAATGGCTAACAGACTCGCCTCCTAACCAAACGTTTAGAGGTTAAGGTCTACTTTTCTTCTTGTAGTTAAAGCGGCCATTGACACCCCTGTGGAGGGGATGCCCTGCCAGCACTACCAACAGCTTCGAAAAGGATCACGTTGGAAGGTTCTGGATAAAGTGGGCGGAAAATGTGGGCCAGAGTTCAAAATCCTCAGCAATCAGGCTTCCTGGCCACATGGAGAATGGTGGAACCTCCATTGAGACCTGAGCTCATCCCCCTGTTACAATAATCAACCACTTAAGGTCAAGGGGGGAGGGTGGGACAACATTTGCCCGGGGGCAAAGTGTAGAGGGTTAGGAAGAAGGACTGGAAATGGGAGACACAGGAAAGGAACAGGTGACGATGGGCTATTGAGGAGATGTCAATGAATGAGTTGAATCAGAATGTATATGGATTGCCGATTGTAAAGTGATGATCTCCCCGTCCCCGGTCTGTAAACCTTCACCCAATGAACACTAAAAGAGTTAATACAACGCAAACCCTAGGCGGCAACTTGGAATGATTCGTAGGAAGTTTCCCACGAATGTCTGAAGCTTTACTGCAATCTATGTTGGAGAGAGGTGGAGAGAGGACAATGTATGTAAGTCACGGATGGCTTCCCCCAAGGAAATATTTGAATGTCTCTTATTTAGAGAACAGAGTGAAGGGGAATCTATGTATTTGATGGGAGGGGGCCAGCTAAAATGTTTTCTCTGCCCAGGTTAGCTTCACACAAATACTCTAATGCCTAAAATTCTGTTGTTTCATGTCTCTGAATGAATTGTTGCCTTTGGTCTCTAGTATTTTTCATCTTATCCATGCTTGACAGATTATTTTTCTCAATTACAAGGTTGTAATCATTTCCCAAACACATGTGAATCAGTATGTGTGGATAAAACACAGTAAAATAAAACTTAAGTAAGTTAGGAAAAGCATCAGGTAATGGCAGGTACTTGTGAGGGTATATCCAAGATGTTAGTTTAAATGGGAAGTTAAAAGTAAAGTTTATGGGTCTCTGTCTAGTAACAATGACAACAACAAACCCTCTGGGCTTTTTGATTGAGGTTTTTCTATGTTTGGTCTAGTGGCTGTTGTTTTTGTTTGTGTTTTGTTTTGTTTTTGTATTTTTCCCCCAGCCCCCTTTGTTTGTGTTTTGTATGATGTTCTGTATATGAAATCCAAGAAAGGTAGGTCTATTGAGAGAGTAACTGGACAGGGCATGGCAGGGGAGGATGGAGAGGAAATGGGGAGCTAACAACAGTGAGCATGGAAAGAAAATGTTGTGAAATTGATTGTGGTGATAATTGCACAAATCTTCTTAATAGGATCGAATTCGAACCATCAAATTGTATGACATGTGAAGTATATGCCATTACAACTATTTTTTTAAAAAAACCTAGGGCGCATGGGTCTATTTTGAGGCACAGGTGGCCACCAGGGGTCAAAAGACAGCTTCCTAGTGAGGAGTAGCTTGTGGTGCCCACAGTCTGTTGGCTGAAAGGTAGCAGGGCCGCTGGAGCCCACACGCCAAGAAAGGTATAAAGATGGCAGCATCAGCCCCAAGGGCAGCTCCCAGGAGTTAGTGCGTTTGCAGGATGTAGCTGCGCCCTTCACCCGGAAGGAATGTGCCTGCCTGGTGCCTGCTCAGAAGGCCTTGTACAGGGTCCTGATGCTGGCGAACTAAGGCTGTGGCCTTCCTAGGCCACC